CTACTATACATATTGTTCATTTTCTAATGATATCTTCTGTTCTTTAATTGAAATGTGCATTGCTAACAGCGGAGCTATCTCAGCCGAGAGGCTGCTTGTTTTATTGGTTCCCACGATTTCTATACCGTTTGTTGCACCTACCTAAATCTACCATGGCCAACCCAAAGCGCTACACATTATTTCTGACACTCTTCAAGTGTAATTACATATTACTGTTATTAATTTTCAGGTATGTTGCCTGTTTTACTCCTGACGGCCATACTGGACTGAAATGTATCATCACAATATTTTCAACAATCAAGGAAGTTATAAAAAAGAAACTGCTGCGTGTTAGTATCGAGGGCACTGAGCTGCATAACCAATATTGAGATTACTTAAGAAACTTTTATTTTTATAGTATCTTTGAGAAAGTTTAAGCATGTACTGCAGAGAAAAAAATCACACAGTTGTTTGAAATCAACATTCAAGTACACAAAACTGTAATAATAAAGACCATCAAATGATACTTTACACCACAGTCTGCTTACAAATTCAACAAACCTCCAAAATGTTGGAGCAAAAGAAAAAAATCCCTACTGTTCCATTTTTAAACTTAATATTTACAAATTTATACCAAATCCTCTTTATAAGTATTTAATATATGCTGAATTAATCTGCATGAATATATTTTGAATTTTTGGTGGAACAGACATCCTTAGTGTGATTCTCACAGGAGCTATTAACCCTATGTGAGCTGTATGAACACAGTACACAAAAGTGAGAACCTGGAAGTTTAACAATGATAGTAGTTTATTGTCAGATGTTGGTTAAAAAAATGTCTACTATCTACTAGCTTCTATCTGTAGAATTATTTAGGCGATAGGATCCTAGAGCTATTTTAAAGGTTTTATTTGGTATAAAATAAAAAATATTTACAAAAAACTTATTTTTATGCATTTACAAAATATGTGAAAAATTATTATTCTCAGCATGCCATTGGTTTATGGGTTTAACTATTAGAAAAAATATGACACAAGGTCTTTAAGGTTTATATGCACTTTTACTGTAAATGTACTTCTATAAGAGCAATTGTGGTAATGCTGGTTTATGTTTATTATTTGTTGAACTGGAACATAATGACCAAATTTGTTTTAAAGAAAAATCTGTTTTTATTTCATAGATGTGAAATGTAGCTCTCATCACAAGAAGCTTTTGATTTCATGATATTTTTTATGTCCACAACACCACGAAAGTATCTGCATAAGTGTTAGCAGAGGGCGCACTTCAACACTAATGATTTCTGGAGCAAACTGTAGACAAACAACCACACACCAAAATGGCGAGTCTCAGTTCTAAACTCCAGGATTATCTCTCCTCATCGAAATCTGGGAACAGCGCTTCAAAACCTACGGACAATTCCTCAAACGACACGAAAAGTAAAAGTTCATGGTTCGGCAGTAGCGACGACGTCGAAATACCGATCGAAGATGATGGCAACGGGTGGTTTAACGAAGCACAAAAGGATCCGATGTGTCCGTCGTTGGTGAGTCGATCGGTTTGTTTTGGTTCACAGCATACTACGTGGAACGACAGATGTGGCAACGCGTAATACCCTGCCACACAACTGTTAATTTTATTGTTATCGCTCATTTATATTTTGTGCGTAGATGAGAAATTCGATGACCAAATTAATGTTTTTCATTAAAAGACGTACGAAATAAATACTGACTGAGCAGACGACGCAATTTCCGGTTTTCAATTTGAATTTGGTTATTTATCGTTAACCGCAGAACTACCGTATTTAAAATGAATGATTTAGAACATGTCGTGTATCAATGTAGAATGTATTCAGATGTTTTAAAATTTACCTTCTGATACAGTGCTTTCAAAAAAAGCCATTTCCGTATTTTGTAATTAGTTTATAACAAATTTATCAAACGTTTTATTCAAATCCAATCAAAACAATTGAATTGGCTATAATTGTGTGGTGTTCCGTGATGTGTCGCAAAGTTGTTTTTCGGAATTTCCACTTTTACATGCTAACTGGGTTGCCCCTTGCTGGGTGTTTATTCCTCAGCGGTGACTTCACAGCCATCCACACTCAGACTTTTAAACTTCCATTGTTAAAAACACTAAATAGGTTGATTCTGTACTATCTTATGCTATTTTTTATCATGCAGTGGCAGTGACATAAAGCCATGTGATATTTTCTATATTTCACTCTTTAAGTGGCAAATCTTGCATCTTAGAAATGGGTCGTCACCATCTTCTAAAAGATGTGTTACCTTCAAAAAATACATGAATGGCTTGTTTAATGACCAGACAAATTATTTTTGTGAAATCTGAATTTTCTTTGATAGTTTGATGCATTGATCAATATACGTTTTTGTTTTAAATCACATTTGAGGATTTTGCCGTTTCAAATTTTCCCAACCTTATAGTAGCAATGCTATAAATTTGTTTTCTGCACTGAACCGCCACTACTGTTATACTGTTAGGATGCATGAAGACCGCTGATAGAGATAGCCCACAATTTAGTTAAAATGTTGCCAATGTGTTTCTATAACTGTAAATAAATTGATACCGGGTAGGTTCGAAAATTAATTATTTGTTTATATGCAGCTGATTAACCATGTAATATTGTATTCATTAAATTTTTGTCAAAGGTGCGGAACATATTACAATTACTACACATGTTTAATAAATATGATATCACTCATTGAATATAATCTTATCTCATTTTATCCCTGTCCAGTACAGTCTAGTTAGTCCATCCAAAAAATCTGTTTTGGGTAATCCTAAGTGCAAAATACATTACCATTGAATACAGCAGCTTAGACATCAGGCAATGTGTGTTTGTAATACATATTTCTACTACACATAAAATGTGATGCAGCAATCTGTGTGACGCATCAGACAACTTGTGGTTGTATTACACTTAGTTTAATGCAGGGATTTTTTTAAACAAGGGAACAGAGGCGCAGTGCCCTCATGCCATAGCCATGCACCCCCTTACCCTGGGGAGCAGATCCTTTGGCAACCATAAAATTCTAATTGACTGGGGATCACATGTGGCCACAGTCTTCAACTGTGACCTGTCTGATAGTAATTTTGACCCCAAGGAAACCATAGAATGCTCAATTTTAACTTAGAATTATCAAAACCTCCACACCCTGGTAGGGAGAACCCTATCTCCCCATTTGGTGACACCGCTAAATTGCAGTGCTCCCTCTTGCAGTTATTTTCTTGAAAAAACCCTGTTAATGTTTACGGCTTGATTATTAGCTGGATTTAACTTTTGTTTCGCTGATAGCTAAATGTGCCAGTGTATATTCAAATTACCAATAGAAGGTATTGTTTCCATCACAAACTAATCCTGAATTTAAAACCTAGTGAATATCTTAACAACATCAAATCTAATAAAATTATCAAACACAGTGAGTAATTCTTGTTCTATATTTTGGTGTAAACTGCCTGTCACAGCAATGTGTGCACCTAATTCCTACTTAATGAAAGAGATGTAGCCTCCTCGGATATGGTATCATTGTCATAAAAAGTGTAATGTGACAGATGGCTTATTTGTCATGTAACATGTGTCAAAACTAGAAATCAATTGTCGGTAATAAAATAGAAATACAAACAAAGTTTGACCCCAGCTACAAATAATAATTACTATACTCGACAGCGTTAGCGTCCATGCCCGGGCAAGCGCCCACCCCCCCCACTTTTGGGCAATTTTTATACTTGGGGTCACATTAGGCAAAGCGCCCATCCCTTCAAATTGCAACTAATTTAAAACTTGGTCTTGCGTAAGGAATCTTGGTAATCGTTTTTTATATGATACAGCGTGGATATCGATCGCTGTAAACATGTTGTGAATGCGTAGAACACGGTAACCGTGCGTAAACTACGCTTCGACAATGACCTGTTAATACAAGTAAAATGCGATAAATATTTCATGCCATATTCAGTTTACCTCTCAAAAATGGCTAGTTACTAGTTGTTTGGAAAAACCATGTCGTTTATTCGCTGAAATCAATTCCAACAGATCGTACTTCAACATCTATAATTCACTTCTGCATTGCGTTTCCGGAAAGTCTTCGGGAATTTCCGAAGAATTGCGTCAGTCAAATACAGCATTCTGATTAGTTAATAACCAACTTGACCCATTAGGTCAAAGGACGTTGCTGTAGGTCAAATCTGCAAATGCATCATGGCGGAAAGTGATTTTCATCGAGAGTTTGCGTACGATCCAACAACTTCGTCAGTGGAAATAATATGACAATTTTGACTTTGACTGTGTTCCAACAGACTCAAATGTTTTTAATTCCGTAAATTATGGTGGTATGTAATTAATATTTTAATAAAATGTGCGTATTTTTTGTGATCAATTCTGTTTCTTCATTGTGAAAATCAATGACGACGCAACTAAGTTAGTAATTTGATTTTTCCTCAAAGACGTAATCTGTCACTTGATGAATACAAATTTTCATTTGCACTCTTTTTCAAGGGGGGTCTCGGGTAAGCGCCCACCCCTAAAAAATCGTGATTTTCTGAGTTGAGGCCCCTGGGCGCTAATGCGGTCGAGTACAGTAATATAGCTGCCACAACACCCTATAAACCTTCTTTTCAGATATGTCCTGTTTAAGATTGGGTGCTACTAATTAAATTAATTTTGACCATCCTGATTTAAAATTACTACCAGAATTGAGAATAACACTTTAAAGCGAGAGAGTCGTAGACGATTGTTTGTAAACAAAGATCTGCTATGGCCATCTGACACATGCACAGGCGACGACTCCCCCACTTTAAGTGAATTGCAGAACTGTCATGATCATGTTCAAAATATTTCCAAACCAATATTTTGCATTGGGTGAAAAACCTGAAAAGTTGGTAACGTGTCCAGATAAATAATTACATGTGACACTTTTAAAATAAACACTGTGATCAATTGTTTTAATACTCCTATTTATTACGGTGTATTAAATGCTTACAAATAAACTTTTTATTCCAATTATTGCAACCATCCACTTCATCTAACATTTTTAATAAAACTTATTAATTTCTCGCAAAATTTGTACTGCATGCATGTCACTGACACCGTGTTTCATTTTTACCTTAGATGAGTTTTCACTGCTACGAAATTAAGTAGTTTTCACCCACTTTTGCCAATTGAAGCAGTTGACAGTAGTTTTTAGTGGATGTTAAAACAATATAATGCACAGATTCATAATTTCATTGTAAATATGTAAAAAATGCATATTATGATGTTCCTGGGTATTAATTGTTTGATCTGTGCTTATGGAAAATTATTTGAAAAATATAGAAATTAAATTACTTATTAAAAAATATGCATTGTCTTTTGAAAAATGCGACATCGTACCAATAATTGTGAATAATTAATTAAGGGTTGCATGATGAATATGGCAAAATTATTTCAATTATGGAGAATTGTAGAATTACAGCTTGGAATGAACTCTTCATACATGCAAGTATTGTTTAGTTTACACAAACAACAAAATTAATAGTTTACTGGATGCAAATTTCTGTTGCTAAAATGAAAATTTTGATGGTACTGATACTTATTGTTAATTTTTTTTCACTTGTTTTATTTCAGAGTAAAAAGCAGCGTATTATAGGTTTCATGGGTCTTTTACTTGCTGGTGTATTTTGTTTTGTGGTAGCAGGAATGTTTGCTCCATTTATAGTACTTAAAGCCAGAAAATTTGCACTTCTTTATACGCTTGGGAGTTTATTTACAATAAGTAGGTAAGTACAATTTCAAATCTACTTTACAAGGTTGATATTTGTTGTGATCTGGCTACACTAAGTACAGACTAAGATTAGAGCTAATATCGTATATTTGTTGTGTTCTGGCTACACTAAGTACAGGCAATGATTAGAGCTAATATCGTATATTTGTTGTGTTCTGGCTACACCAAGTACAGACTAA